CACACACACACACACTCTCACTCACTCACACACACACACACACTCACACTTGCTCACAAACACACACTCACACAAACACACACTCTCTCTCTCACACACACACACTCACACAAACACACACTCTCTCTCTCTCACACACACACTCACACACGACTGACGCTGTGATCGTATCCGAGTGCTGACGTGTCTCTGTCCCGCAGGAGTTGGACGCTCCGTTCCGTCTGTACGGTCTGACCATGAATCCTCTGCTGTATAACATCACTCAGGTGGTGATTCTGTCGGCCGTGTCGGGGGTCATCAGCGACCTGCTGGGCTTCAACCTGAAGGTCAGATGCTCGCTGTGGGTCGATGTCTGTGAGTCTCTTATACTGTCGGTGCTGTGTTCACAGTTTGTGTGTTTGCTTCACAGCTGTGGAAGATCAAATCATGACGGTGAATCTGCAGTGATTTCAGCTTCCCGAGGCGATGCGCGTCTCAAACACACGGTGGCGCTGTTTCTCCTCGACGGCTTCCTGACAATGAACTCTTGACCTGTTGTTCAGTCATAGAGTGCTTGTGCAATTCAGCTATTTATTTTACCCTTTCAGTGTTTTTTTTTATTCTGAAGTATTTGTTTTAGCTGTTACAATTGTTTTAAGTATTATTTTAGCTCCTGATGTGACATTCTCATAGGAAAGATAATCCAGCGCAGTCTGATCTGCGAGTTACTGAAACCAACAGAAAAGCCCCATCATGACGCGATGATCATTGTGGAACGGATGAAACTGACACACACACACACACACACAAACACAACTGAAACTGCCGTTTTTACACGTGTGTGAGTTTCATCAGTTGATCTGCAGTTTTTCAGCTTTGTTTTCATTCTCAGCAATAAGTGTCAGTGAGTTCAGATGAACATTAATGCGTCTGATCTCACACCGATTCAGCCGCTTCATGTGTCGTCTGTGACCCACACACACTCGGTCGGTCTGTAAACACGTGTGTGTGTGTGTGTGTGTGTGTGTGTGTGTTTGTCAGTTAGCAAAGCCTCAAAATGTGCACTTTAAAGCAGAAAATGTTACATGTTTCAGTCATGTTACAGTCAGTCAACGGTTCAGTCTTGGTGTTTTGTACGTGACGTAACGACCAAAGTGTTTCTTTTTCCTTTGTCTGTTTGTTTTTTTTGCTGGAGATGAATGTATTCGACTCTCTGAACTCTGCTTTGTAACGGGGACTGACAGAGTTACTTTTCGTTGTTGTTGTGATGCTGTTTTAAGTTTGATTCATATAGATTCATATTTCTGTTCATGGAGGGAAAATGTTCTGTTACAAAGAAACACTATTTAAAGAAAAAGAGAAATGGAGAAACTGAATGTCTCGTTTGCTTTTCAGAGAGAATCTTGTGTTTCTAGTTTCTGTATATTATTCAGACGTTTCTCTTCTCAGATGAAGCTACAGCCAGCTTCACGAGAATCTTGTGCTGGTGAAACTTATATTTCAACACGCTGTACAAAATAAATCTCTCATGAAAAGTGTTTGCAGCGCTTAAACTTCTTGAGCTGATCAGGTGCATCAACCATCTGCTAACTAACCTATGAACTAACCAGGTATGTGCTGTGATCCGGATGAACGGGTAGTGCACTAAAATTACAAATGCCAAATCATTTTAGTTGACTTTTTTTTTTCTCCCTATTTTACTGAAGTAGTCCTGCGGTGCGTGATGGCTCATAAAACTGCATGTATAATGAGGAACTAAGTGTTTTAGATCAAGCATTATCAGCTGTGTTTGTCGAGGCTGGACTGACCTGAGCAGAATCTCTTCTGAAGGACCGTTTCAGTTCAAGCAGATCTTAAGAAACACTCAATCTAAAACAAAGGGACCAAAACTGAAAATGTCGTACTAAATAAGGACAAACGTATTTAATCACCAGTAAAATATCATTTGACTTAAAATTAGAATTACAATAAAAATAGTAATCTGGTTAGTAAAATCAGGAAAAAAAAAGAAGAGCCATTATTCAACACATAATGAAAAAAAATCATGCTGCAAATAACAATTAGTTTCATTCACTGACTAATGATTTCAGCTCCAATGATTTCTCCTAAAAAGTCTCCAATCAGTATTTTTACTGTCTTTGTAAAGAAATCACAAAGAAATTTGTACCTTCTTCCATGAGTCTTTCATTAAAAACAAAACATGAGATGAAGTATTTATGAAACAAAAATCGTGTTCAGAATGAAGAACTAGCACACTGATGGCAAAACACTTCGAGTGAAACCGCACAAATGTACTCAGAAATCTCTGCTAGTCTCACTAGACTCGTGTACTTCTGCGCCAGATGTTAGCGTCAGCATGGTCTTAACAGACCAGAAAACACAGGATGGATCTCATTACATCTGTGCATTATTAGATCTTACTGTATGTTACATTATTATTAATCAATCAGTCATTTGACAAGAAGAGGAGAAATCACTGCTCGTCTGAATATCTTTAGCAGCTTTAATAACATACTCTGCTCTCTCGTGCTCGTTACTGCTTCTTATGTGCTTTGTTTTCATTTTGCTACTGACTTTTTTCTGTCTTTTCTAAAGCAATACTTCATGAAAAAACACTAAGATTATTTGATTAAATTATTTATGATTATTCATTTGCGTTGATAATGAACTTTTTAAATAGTTAAAATGGTTCATGGATTTTGTCCATTAGATGTGCATTGGTGAAGAGTGAACTTGAGTCCTTTGTCATCTTAAAAAAACACGACAGTTGCTTTGCACAATTAACTCTAGGCTAACTGAGACTTATGTTGGTTTTGATTGCTTCTATTGTCCTCATTTGGACAAAAGCATCTGCTAAATGACTAAATGTAAACGTAATCCAATTCTGCGCAAAACAACTTCACATAAATGTAAAAGCGCTCCGTCATGATTACTGTCCATCGGTGCAGTTACACATTTCACACTGCAACACTAGTACGGTAGAGTAGTATGTTATTCTGCTATTCTGAACACTCACGATCGAGAAACAAACTCTGCAGGTGCGTCTTCAGCGGCCTGTCGTCAGGTCAAAGGTCACGCCGCGCTCTCGCTCTCCCGGCTGAAGTCAGACGAGCTGGAACGCTGCCGGCGGAAGTCGATGAATATTCCATCGGTGTCTGAGTCCAGAGACTCCAGGATCTGGTCCACGATGGGAGGAGACGGATCCTCGCAGACGTCTGGCTCTTCTGCGCAGGAGGTCATCTGACACACGGAGTGGCGTCTGGCCCCGGCGCTGCTCTCGGGGTCGTACTCGGCCACCGGCGTCAGCATGGGCATGTTGTAGCTCTTGGAGCGCACCACGGGGTTCTTAGCGGGCGAGTCGCTGGAGCGCGGCCATCGGCGCAGGAGCCGCTTCTCTGAGAACAGCAAAGGAAGGATGGGTCAGGAGAATGTGCTGCGACTGCTGCGTGAGCTTTACTGTGACGCTGCTCACCCAGAACACACGAGCTCTGCGCCACCGAGCCGTCGCCGGAGAACAGGCCGTGAGTCCCCAGATACGGAGACACCACCTTCTGCACCAGACACTCCAGCTTCAGGTAATCACTGCTCACACCTTTAGACTCGTGAACCCCCTGCGACACACATCACATCAACACCAGCCTCCGCTCACACCACTCCATCATTAGCAATCACACGGCGAATCCTCCATAATATCATTTACTATCGTATGCACTCATCAAATTACTGGTATTTGTGGCATTATTTAACACCCAAAACAAGCATGTCTTAAAGCAGGCAGTAATTTGAGCTGCTCTTGGTAGATTGCGCTGGTTATTATAGAAATTATCTGCTGCGTCTGTGTTCTTTAATGTGCGCATTTTCAGTAAATCACACGCAGAATTGCGCGCTAACGCTAATTTGCACTGTTTAGTGAATCTGGCCCAATGAGTTGGATTAATCAACACTTCAAACTTTGAAAATACGATCTCCATTTCTTTCTAATTCATTTTACAAAAACAAGAAAATAGCTCAACTATAATATGGAAATAACTTTCACTGTATGTTCTGATCACACTACAAAAAATATGCTCTTCTTCAGTAAATTTGTCTTGTTTTCTGGTGCAAATGTCTAAAGATTCAATATCTGCCAATAAGGCCAGAAAAATCTGCTTAAATCAAACAAAACATTGACAGATATTTGTTCTTGTTTTAAGCATAAACTCACTTAATTTTGTTCAATTTCTCAGAAAACAAGACTTAATATCTTCATTTTGCATCTCAAGTAATAATGTTTTAGGTCATCATCACTATATATATATATATATACTGCTGTTCAAAAGTTTGGGATCAGCAAGATAAAAAAACAGTTATATTGTAAAATATTATCATTTAAAATATGGTTTTCTATGTGAATACGTGTTAAACTGTAATTTATTCCTGTGATCAAAGCTGTATTTTCAGCATCATTACTCCAGTCTTCAGTGTCACATCAACCATCTTCATTTTGCTTAAATGTTTCTTGATTTAATGATGTTTAGATATTTGCACTGGAAAGCAAGACATTTTTGCAGTGCATGCAACATTTAATGTTATGACTTTATGAATTTAAGACTTTCTGCTCTGATTTAAGACCTTAAAGGTGCTGTATGTAATTTTTGGACCCTTCTAAAGCCAAAAAGTAACATAATATGTTTACTAGATATTAGTAATTAGATATTAAGGAAACAAGTTATGTTTACATAGCTGTTTCTCTGAAAAATAATGCTATAGCCAGTAATTCTACTCTGAAATGTGCGCTCCGGGGTTTTGCGGGACCCATGTCAACCGCTAGCTGGCAATATTACATACTGCACCTTTAATGGCCTAAATTTGTAAAAGGGCAAATTCAGACGTTAAGAGCAGCAGAAACCCTGCAAGCAGCTGTGATTTATGATCAAATATCAGCAGCAATCACATCTGACAGATCACTGTGACAGAGATGCAAAACTAAACAATAAAACAAAACTATGATGAGCCCTTTAAAATGCAGCATGCAGAGACACAGGAAATAAAACCACAAACAAAGCAGAAACACACACACACACACACACACAACTTGTGAAGAATCAGTAAGGTGTAGATAGATTTCACTCACAGTCTGAAGGTCAGAGATGATGCAAGCACAGAAAACCACAAATATACACACGTTTCACAAACACTCACAATACGACACACGTTTGCTTGGAAATAAAACTCAGTTCACATACGTGTACACCAAAACACACACACATTTGTCTTGTGTGACTCCGTCGTGTAAGTTTAAGATGCGTTACACACAGAAACCCACTGGAAACTCACGGGGAAGCTGACAGTTTCAGCTCTGCATCGACTCGGGAAATCTAGAGCGTTATGAAAGTTTCTGATGTTTGTTTACACGAGCGTCTGAAGGGTTGCTGGGAAACGGCTGCATCTGTTCTGTAGCACACACACACACACACACACACACACTCACACACACTCACACA